TTGCTTTTGTTATTATCTGGAGGCAAGTCCCTTTTACAAATTCTAAGAAAAAATAGATATATCATTAGCAATTTGTTTGAAAAATATTCTTTCTACATCACAGGCAAACAGTAGACAATAGCTGGCAGACATGTAAAAAGGTCATTCATTTCAGCTAACTATACAAAACAGTCCATTTATTTACTCTGCAGCTAAATGCAAAGATATCAATATGTATTTGTATGCCCCCGGGCATATAGTCATTGATCCGTCCGTCTGTCTTTCCGTACGAGGTTAACCTAGAACGGCAAGTTGGATTTTTCTTAAGTTCTACCTGTACCAATGGCTTCTAAGTTTACACACTTACTAATCAATACAAAGTACATGATCTGGGCAAGTTTCATAACTCTGGCTTTCATATTTACCAAGTTATTGCCCTTTTCAGCACTTAGAAAATGAATAATGGTTAACCTAAAACGGCAAGTTGGAAATATCTTAAGTTCTATCTATACTAATGGATATATAATTTCCACACTTACTTATCAATACAAAGCACATGATATTGCCAAGTTATATAACTGTGTCATCCATATTTCCCAGTTATTTCCCTTTTTTCACTTTGAAAATAGGGCCTTGTCTGGTTTGGTCAAGATCACCAGTGCTCAAAATAGATTTTTACACTTTTGCCCATACAGCCTTTATTTAATGACAGATGTATTTCATATTTGGTAGGAAGATAACTTGCATGAAGTTGAATATTTTTCAACTTCACAAGTCAGAGCAATGACTTGGCAACTTATATTTTTCACAATTACAAAATGCCATGACTTTGTCAAGCTATAAAACTTGTGTTTACAATTTTTTGGCGATTTTTCTGTCCATAACTGAGTGAATGGGTAAACATTTTTAGCTCACCTGTCACAAAGTGACAGGGTGAGCTTTTGTGATCGCTTTTCGTCCGGCGTCCGTCCGTCCGTCCGTCCGTCCGTCGTCCGTCGTCCGTCCGTAAACTTTTGCTTTAAATGACATCTCCTCATAAACCACTGAGCCAATTTCATCCAAACTTCACAGGAATGTTCCTTTGGTGGTCACCTTTAAAAATTGTTCAAAGAATTTAATTCCATGCAGAACTCTGGTTGCCATGGCAACCGAAAGAAAAATCTTTAAATATCTTCTTTTAAACAACCCTAAGAGCTAGAGCTTAGATATTTGGCATGAAACATCTTCTAATGAGTGTCTACCAAGTTTGTTCAAATAAAAGCCCTGGGGTCAAAATTGGCCCCGCCCCCGGGGGGTCATTGATTTTCCCTATATGCATATAGTAAAAACTTAAAAGATCTTCTTTTAAAGAACTGTAAGAGCTAGAGCTAAGATTTTTGGCATGGAACATCTTCTAGTGAGTGTCTACCAAGTTTGTTCAAATAAAAGCCCTGGGGTCAAAATTGGCCCCGCCCCGGGGGGTCATTGATTTTCCCTATATGCATATAGTAAACACTTAAAAAATCTTCCTTTAAAGAACTGTAAGAGCTAGAGCTTAGATATTTGGCATGAAACATCTTCTAGTGAATGTCTACCAAGTTTGTTCAAATAAAAGCCCTGGGGTCAAAATTGGCCCCGCCCCAGGGGGTCATTGATTTTCCCTATATGCATAAAGTAAAAACTTAAAAAATCTTCTTTTAAAGAACCCAAAGAGCTAGAGCTTAGATATTTGGCATGAAACATCTTCTAGTGAATGTCTACCAAGTTTGTTCAAATAAAAGCCCTGGGGTCAAAATTGGCCCCGCCCTGGGGGGTAATTGATTTTCCCTATATGCATATAGTTTAAACTTAAAAAATCTTCTTTTAAAGAACCGTAAGAGCTAGAACTTAGATATTTGGCATAAAACATCTTCTAGTAAATGTCTACCAAGTTTGTTCAAATAAAAGCCCTGGGGTCAAAATTGGCCCCGCCCCAGGGGGTCATTGATTTTCCCTATATGCATATAGTAAAAACTTAAAAAATCTTCTTTTAAAGAACTGTAAGAGCTAAAGCTTATATATTTGGCATGAAACATCTTCTAGTGAATGTCTACCAAGTTTGTTCAAATAAAACCCCTGGGGTCCAAATTGGCCCCTCCCCAGGGGTCATTGATTTTCCTTATAATTGCATATAGTAAAAACTTATAAAATCTTCTTTTAAAGAACCCAAAGAGCTAGAGCTAAGATATTTAGCATGAGACATGTTCTAATGGGTGTCTACCAAGTATGTTCAAATAAAAGCCCTGGGGTCAAAACTGGCCCCGCCCCGGGGGTCATTGATTTTCCTTATATACATAGCAAAAACTTAAAAATCTTCTTTGAAAAAACCCAAATAACTAGAGTTTAGATATTAAGCATGAAACATCTTTAAGTAAATATCTACAAAGTTTGTTCAAATAAAAGCCCAGGGGTCAAAACTGGCCCTGCCCGAGGGGTGTCATTGTTTTTTACTCTATGTGTATAGTAAAAACTTAAAAAATCTTCTTTTAAAAAAACCCAATGAGCTAGAACTTAGATGTTTTGCATGAAACATCTTCTTATAGGTGTCTACCAAGTCTGTTCAAATAAACAAATAAAAGCCCTTGGGTAAAAATTGGGCCGGGGGGGCTATATACAGGTGAGCGACCTCAGGGCCATCATGGCCCTCTTGTTTGAAGTATTGCTACTGACAAGAATCTGAGCCGGGGGCATTTGTGTTTAACAAACACGTTCTTGTTTCTTTCTTTTTTTTAAATACTTTAAATACTTAATGATCAAGTTAAAAGTAAAGGTTACCGTATTCACAAAAAAAAATATCACAGAAATAAATCATTTTAAGAATTTTCAAAGTACTAAAATACTCTTGTATTCGACTAAAATAACACACCTACTCAAATATAAAAATTAGCACCAATATAGTTTCTTTAATTTCAAAATCCTTCAAATCATGTTTTTTTTTTTCTGTGCTACGATATTGTATTTAAATCTTATAAGATTTCAGGATAGATGGTTTTATTTTCTTTGTAATTTGAATAATTTTCAGGCTACTATTATTACCCACCCTGTTTTCAAAGTAACATGTTGAAGAGTCTTTCACTTTACTTTCTCAAAATACATGTATTTGAACAATATTCTTAAATCAAAGCTAATGATCAAACAGTTTTCATTTTGAAAATCTTTTGATTAAAATATTAAAATTCCACCCCAAAGAGAACTATCTTTCTCAACCTTTTAAAATTTATGTCCTCAAAAACAGCACCAAAAATGTTACATATGATTTGAAGCAAAGTATTTATGGTGTTATAGGTAATTGAACTTAAGTCACAATTGATATCTCCTAGAATACTATCGATGACATATAAGACTCTATTTGTTGAGTCCAAATTTCATGCATTACAAAATATTTACAGCTTTTTTGTAGTTGTTGCATTATAAGTCAAAGTGACACATTATTGGTCAGAAAGACAAATTTCCAGCCTTACTGGTGGAGGAAAACCTCCTTGCATTATTTCAGACACAAACAAACACTGATTTAGACTAAAACCACCTAAGTTTCGTAATACAGCTGAATAGCTTCCTTAAATGAAAGAATTCTAATTCCCGGGTGGGATTTGAACTCACATTGCTGAGGGGCAAGTGGTTGATGTCAACCACCTTAACCACTTGAATATTGATGCCCCTAATCATTATAACAAAAACAAAACTAAAATTTACACAATTTGAGTGACAGCTACAGTATTTTATTGGGAAAGTCATTTGACATTTTAACCTTTAGACAATGACAATCAGTCTCAAAATCATGCTGAAAGATCACACCACAGAACTAACAACAAACTCTATTTATCTTACAACAATATATCTATGACTTGGAAACAAGAATCAATATGATGTCTCCCTCATACAGTTACTTCTAGACAAATCTTGGCAATAATAAACATTTCATTGTATTTAAGGACACCAATCACTCCTTCCCATTATTATCTAGTATCTATCATACACCCCTTTATAGAAGTCAGAGACTTTCCTTAGTTAACAGTATCTGTCACATGTTCTCTTGGCATGTTAAGTATTTTAAGGATTATGACAGACAAAATATAAGAGCAAGATTTTCATTTGAAATGAAATATAAGAGCAGGATTTTAGTAAGAGCAAATTTTTCATTTGAAAAGAAAATGTTAGAGCATTATTCTTCATTTAAAATGAAATGTAAGAGCAAATTTTTCATTTAAAATCAAATATAAAAGAAAATTGTTCATAAGAAGTAAATTGACATTTTATTCTCAGACTGGGGAAACTTGGTGTTTTGCAATATTTAAAGGAGATCAACATTTGTTTTATAAGAAGAACTGTCCATATTTAGACAGCAGACTTGACTATTCTTCTACAAGCCTGACAGTAAGAAAAGGAGCATAATGCTATAAAAAGATAGCTTAGAGTTATGGGACATGTGCGTATCATGCAAGGTAATCACAGAGAACAAACATTTCATTTGAAGCCAACATTTCATTTTGAAGCCAACATCTTATTTTGATCCAAACAAGTGTGTGAAGTTTCAACCTGTTCCCTTCAGTGGTTTTGGAGAAACCAACTTATATATTCTCTTAATCAAAGTTTGACGCTGATTAGAGTTCAATACCTCTCACTAACCTTTATTTAGTCAAGCTAAACGTTTCATTGAGAAAACTTAATATGAAGGTCTCAGCTTCTTGAAGAAAACTTACTTTTAAATTTTTATAATTTTGATGCAACCCAACATTTCATTTTGAAGCCAACATATCATTTTGAAGCTAACATTTACTTGTTAATTTTGAAGCCAACATATCATTTTGAAGCCAATTCAAACTTGTATTTCATTTTAAAGTAGTACTATCATTTCATTCGGGATCAAGCCAACATTTGAGCAAACCAACATTTACGAGGGCTGTTCGATATGTATTGTCACTAAGGTTATATTTCTATGAAAACGAAAGAAAACCTACTTATTTTTGGGGCATCCCTTCAAATTATTCCCTTTGCACTTGTTATCAAATTTTCAGTCTCTTCAGCCACATCTGAAACGCCCGGATGTAGTCTTTTGTGGGTATACTGATGAGACACTGGTATATGGCAGAACCAACTGAAGGTCTCTTGGAATATTTTCTTCCAGCGAGAATTTTCTTAAGTCTGGGGAACAGGAAGAAATCACATCGGGACAAATCTGGCGAGTACGGGGGATGCTGGAGTACAGTCACATGTTTTCCCGACAAAAAGTCCGTCACTATAGCAGCCTTGTGGACAGGGGCGTTGTCATGGAGCAATTTAATGTGTCTCATGCCACTTTTCGGCTGAATTTTCCCGAAGTATTTGTCCAGCTTTTTCAAGACAACATCACGGTAGAATTTGCCTGTGATGCCTCTTCCCTTTGGTACAGGTACCTGTATGGCTAGACCACGTGCTGTAAAGAAAATGGCGTACAACATCTTACGCACACTCATTGTTCGTTTGGCAATACAAGGCCTCTTTGCAGCTTTTGTAGCCCAAACTTTGTTACTTATTTTCCTGTGGGGTTCGTAGTTTTCGAAGTATATCCAGGTCTCATCACCCATAACCAAGTCAGGAAAGTTGTTTTTCTCAATCTTTTGTGCCATTTTCAGTATTTTACGAGCACATTGGACACGTGACCTCTTTTGTTCAACAGTCAGGAGATGTGGAATCCAGCGTGCTGTAATCTTCCTAACTTTTAGCTGCTTTTTAAGAATGAAGTGAACTGTTGATGATGAAACCCCCGTTAGTTTCGCTAGCTCACGCACTGTATACCGCGCATCTTCAAGCAACAGTTCTTGAATTCTGGCTTCAGCAAGTTTGGTGCTGATGCTGACTTTTCTTCCAGTTTTTGTGTCATTTTCAATTGACACTCTGCCTGAAGCAAACTTCTTAGCCCATCTACAAACAGTCCTATAAGACATCCAACCTTTACCATAAATGTCCACAACGTCCTTGAAAATTTCAGTCGCAGACTTTCCTAATACAGCGCGACCTTTGATGTACCCCCGGATTTCAGTGAAATTCGCAATGCTTGCACCCACCATTTTTCACACAGTGGTCAATGAGTGGATGCGTTTTAATCGATGTATTTGTGTTAATCCGCTGTAGCTCATGTACAATTTGGTATTGATTTTTATTTGTTTGGGTCGTCAGACCAAACAAATAATGGTAGCGAAATTTCAGAGTCTAATGCTGTTAATTGCAAATGCCGAAAGTAGTCCACTTTTTTGAAGCGGTTACTTCCCTTTATATGTACACTTACGCCGAAAAATTCAGGGGAGATCACTGCGTAAAGATGGCCAAAGACAGGCGCATTAATTTTCAAGCAAAATAATTTCCGAATGGTCGAAGATTTCTAATATTGTTTTATTGAATTTTCTGATCGAAAATAAGTAAATACAAAGCGGACATTCAATCTCTGACACAGAAGATTAAGACAAACCTAACAACAAGTAGTTCTCAAAACAGCTTAAAACTAGCGATTTAAAAGAAAGAAATATTTTTATTTTGTTACAAGTATCCAACAAATTACAACGAATTCAAAGTTTAAAAATAGCGTTGGCGTATAGAATTGTCAATAAATGCACAATCACAAATTACGCGGATGAATATGATTTTATCAATGAAAATACTATTTTTAGCGATGTCGTTTACCGAATACTACACAAACCGAGTAGTGGAATATATAGATTCTACATGTCGGACTGTTTGGGCGAGAAGACTTTCGCTAAATTATTTACTTCAATTTTAAACAACAGGTTTATCCTGAACAAAATACCTCGAAATTAATAAGGATTACAAACCCGAAATGCAATGGAAGTTCTAAATTTAGAATGACTTGATGTTATTCAGACATTGTTAGTATAACCTCTCCGTGGTGCAGGGATAACGCGCTCGCTTAGTGAGTGAGAGGTCTGGAGTTCAAATCCCAGTCGAGGAAACTTTTTTTTTTAATTCTTTTTAAGTGTCTTTGTTAAGGAAGTAGCCATGATATGCAAGGATAAAGTGTGGCTGTCGTAAAAAAATGAACATAAATGATTTTTTGATGCAACTCTAGTTATGCAGGATTCCGTATTTATCAAACTCTGATGCCTTGCAAAATGAATTATAATACATAAAAATAAACTTATACAGGAAAATACATACAGATATACAGTACGATTTAGATTGCAAAGATCAGAAAATACCACAGAACTTGCAGACCTTTGATTCTTTATAAATATACATGCTTAAAGTAAGCTCCAGGATTATTTACATCTGTGTTAAACAACAGTTAAAGTCGTTACAAGCCCTAATTTTTCTTCAGGCCGTTCACATATAAATTCACCGTGGCTGAAGGGTTTTCGCGCTCGCTTAGGAAGCGAGAGGTCTGGAGTTCAAATCCCAGTAAAGGCAACTCATTTTTTTTTCAAATTGTTTAAGTCAAATAAACATTGGATTAAATATCAGTGTTGCATTTAGTCTTATAGCCAATTTACTACAATTAAAACGCTGGAAAGCATTGGTGGCACTTTCTTACATTCTGAGACCCAAACAAATTCAGCGCCTTCTGTGCTTTGATTTCGTTATGCTTCGCTCTATCGGTCAGAACACAATTTACCCACGTTGGAAGCGCTTAAAGGGAGAATCACGTGCAAAGACAATACATATCGAACAGCCCTCGTATATTAATCAAAGCAAACCAAGATATCATTCTGAAACAAACCAACATTAAATTAATTGATATGAAGTATAGCCAAAATTTCATTTTAGACTAACTTTAGATATGTCATCATCTTACTAACATTTAGGTAACACTACGCTTTAAATAAAATATCAAAATAAATCAAGCATATCCATGCTGTTTTCAAATCGGGTATTACCAAAATTGCCAAGAACTTTTTGTCCTGAAATGTGAAATATCAATCAACCATAATTCTATCAGATGAATGTTGAATCTGACCAATTATATTGTCTAAAGAATTATTATCTAATTTGAATCTAAATGCTCATAACAAGTGATTATGGATGTTTAATTAATACTAAAATCTTCAATTTGCAGCAAAATCTTTGCTGTCTTGGCTAATTGGAAAATTTAGATAATTTTCTGATCTTGTGCTTAGAAATCAATTATTATGTATGCAGTCTGTCTAAATCTGTCTAAACTGTTTAGTTTCTCATCAAGAATAATTCAGGAAACTCTTAAATATAAGTGATGTTTTACTATAATTCTGCACCTAAATTTTATAAAGGACTTGCCCTACCTGTTTCAGCTTCTTTTGGCTGAGAGCTCTACAACTGAAGGGTCAGGGCTTTCCTTTAAACAAATTACCAAAATAATAATAAGAAAGAACCACTGTTTAGTAGGATGCAATAGGGACATAAAATCCCTTGGTCTAAACTTACATGAAGGCCCATTTCTAGGGATGTTTGAGGGCATGCAGCACCAAGATTTTTGTTTTCTTGTTTTTGATTGTCAAGAGATGCATTTATTTGTAGCTCGACTATTCGCAGAATAATCAAGCTAATGCAGTCAACCATTTGTCGGCGTTAGCGTCCCTGTGATTAAGTTTTTGCATGTAAGCTGGTATCTCCATAACTACTGAAGGGATGGATTGAAACTTCACACACTTGTTCTTCTCGTGTGATTATCTAACATGATTGGCACAAGTCCCATAACTCTTGAATTTGCCTTTTTTGCATAAAATATGCCCCTTTTTCAACTTAGAAATCCTTGGTCAAGTTTTTGGCGTGTAAGCTGGTATCTACATAACTTCTGAGGGGAATGGATTGAAACTTCAACACACTTGCTCTTTGTGATTATCTAAGATGATTGGCTCAAGTCCCATAACTTGGATTTGCTTTTGCATAATGATGGGCCCCTTTTTCGACTTAAAAATTCTTGGGTAAGTTTTTGCATGCAAGCTGGTATCTCCATAACTACTGAAGGGAATGGATTGAAACTTCACACACTTGTTCTCTGTGATTAATCTAAGATTGATTGGCACAAGTCCATAACTCTGTTCGCTTTTTTTGCATAATGATGCCCCTTTTTCGACTTAAGAAATTCTTGGTTAAGTTTTTGCGTGTAATTAGCTCGGTATCTCCATAACTACTGAAGGGAATGGATTGAAATAAATTGAGATGAAATAAAATTCTTGTAACTTACCTATTTTTCCAATGATTCAATCAAAATCTGTATAATATATAAAACTATTATTCTTGCCCACTGATCATTGAGCTGCTCACTGCATAATTCAGGGATGTCTACTTGTCAAAATACCCGTACTGAAATTGAAACATTTGAAAAGTATTGAATCAGTTTCCATAGATGACACCAAATAGTTTGTTTTGTAAGATTTAAAGTTACACCAACACTGTAGCCTTAAGTGCTTGATAGGATTCAAACTTAAAGCAGTGTGGGGCAAGTTATAATTTGAAGATGGCGACTGTAACCACTCAGTGCATGCTGGCCCATGTGGCAAAATGTAATAGTCATGCCTACTATTGGATGAAAGAATTCCTTACAATAATGCTGAATTATGTTTTAGTTGGATATTCTAGAACATTCAGTCCTACTTGACCTATACATGTATATAAATAAATTTTTATTTTGTCCGATTCTTATATGCCTACTTAGCTTCAGAGGCATAAAATTTATATATTATGGAAAATAAGATAAATTGTTATGATTACCACAATGAATGTTCAATGTAAACAAAACTAAACATAAAATTCAATAACAGTTAGAAACAGAAACTGAACAATTCCCACAGATTTAATGCATGAAAAGGCGTTATCATTGATTTTCAAGCATACAAGAAGAAAACTGAACGTAATTTTCCCATCAGTCAGGCGTATAGCTTGCAGCAAAATGTTAGGATTTAAGTAGAAAAACTTTTTCCCTAACCACTTATTATGCCCTATTTTAGACTCACGGTATAAATGGTTATTTCTCATTAAGGTAATGGAACCAAATTAGAATATTAAAAAAAAAAATCTTTACAGATAGTATTTAAATTTGAGAACAAAAAAATATTCTTACAAACAAATGCAGGTTCTACAAACATTCTGAAGGAAAACTAGAAGAAAAAACAAGATATAAAATTCTACAGTGAGTACACTTGTACTGAAATGGAATTTTTTTTAAAAAAAAATCTCAAACTTTTTATAAATCAAAGTACTGTGTAGTAGAGATGGGTTGGGCACATTAAGCAACAAATATTACAATACTTTGATACTAATGCTTTTAGTCATAAAAAGACACATTGTTCACTGCCTTAAGAAAAAAAGTTTTTAATGTAAGAAAATTGTCTCTAAACTAATAAGTTGACTCAGAAATAATGTTGGCTTTTTAATTTTCAAGCTTTCATCTCTAAAATTACCACTTTGATCGAAAACCCCATCATTTATGTCCAAAGGAAAATGATAAAACAAGGTTTTTTTCATGTAAGTTTATGCCATATGGTTTAGGAATATATAATGTAACCCATCACTCCAATTCATGCTGAGGTTGTTTTGAGTCTGTTTTAACCATATTAACCTTTAATCATCACGCACACCTTAACAAGAAAATTATCGGAAAGTAAACTGCAACAGACCAGACAAGAATGGATAACTATCAAGGACGATTATATGGCCAAATTACATTTTGAATTTGCATAAAAATTGTTGATATTTATCAAGACAATAAAAAACTACCATCTTATTTCTTCCTTTTATACACCATAGATTATGGATGTATATAATACTCATAGCTGCCACAAACTCACATAATTATTTTCAATAATGAAAAGCACATCTTATCAAGACATTTTAAACCACATGCAAATTTTGGTGTGGGATATAAAGGTTGATCTCATTTGACTGGAAAAAGGGAAAAA